TATATATTTGGGCTACACTGTGGAAAAAAATCCTATCAATCTAGAACATAGCATATGAAAGCCTACAACAAATTGACATCTAAAGGCTAGTCTACCACCTGTGTTGTGATAGGAGGAGGCTTTGAAATTCGTGTCATAATGATGAATTCTGAGAATTTTATTGTAGTCTATTATACTCATATCATCTCTTTAAAAAATTTTATGTTATTTTTAATTGGCAATAATCATTTTCTATATTTGTGGGTACAATGTGATGTTTTGATGCATGTATACATTTTGGAATGATCAAATCAGGCTAATTTGCATATCTATCACATCAAATCTTTATCATCTTAATGCTGCTCTCCAATGTCTATAATATTTACATCAGAGCTATCATAGGTCATGAATTCTTGGTGCTGGAAGAGACCTCAGAAATTGCCTGGTTTAGTCTTCTATTAGCTACTTGAATCTTCCATACAGTATCGGGACATCAGGTCACCTTCAATGCCCACAGACTCTCATTGCCTCCTGGTGTACTTGCTCCAGTGTTGGAACACTAGATACTCTGAAAGTTATTTCTGTGATCTGTTGAAATCTGCCTCTGCGCAATTTTAGCTTATTCTTTCTGTTCTAAACAATGTGGCCATTCTCTACATAAAACACTTCAGATACTAAAGAGTTCTTATACTGTAACTCTGATTGTTTTTCCTAATATCCTTTTACTATTTCTCACGACATGGTTTTGATATGTCATACAATTTAAACTCTCATTTTAAATATCTTTTTAAAAAGTGTGCTGTATAGGACATACCACAGGAATGGTTACATTAACAAGATCTAGATAGATAAAATAGTGGAGTTCATGGTTCCAAGAGAGTGAAAATTATCATATCAACATATTATTAATTTGCTATTCCAAGTTGTTACTAAATATGTTGCATAGGACAGAGTAAGATGAGAGCACTTCAGCATCATCCTCAGAAATTTCCCCCAGATCTCAGTGCATCCAGGTTAAACCCTACATCATACTCTCAAATTCCTTCTGACCTCTCCAGATAGCCTTGCCCCAGTTGGCAAGACTATCCTGAGAAACATTATCTCTGTTCAATCTGGAAATTCGGAGAGTCTAGACTAGAACAGCCCTCCAACTGTCTAGTTAGTGTTACATAAAAAAGGGGGCTAGTGGATTTGTCACTAAGCAGACCTGAGCTAGAATCTCAGCCTGCTATTATTAGTATAATCCCCTGGGCAGATCGTCTCACATTAATTTCTGTTTCCTCATGTTTAAAATATGTAAATAACAACACTTACATAATGGAGCTGTGATGAAATTAAATGTGATAAAGTATTTAGAACACTTGGTTTGATGTATGAAACCTATTAAATTGCATAATAAATGTTAATTCTTCCCTCTTTTCTTTGTATCTAATAAGGGTATG